TGGCTAGAAACTACAAAAAGGATTTTGGAAAGGCTTTCTGCCAGAAGCAAATTACTTTCTTCAATCTCAAGTTTAACAGTTATTACGTTTATACTACACTCTCAGAAATGAAAGCTGAAAAACAGTGAGGTATCTCAAACGTTTTGTAGATAATTCAGCACATTAATCAAATCTATTCATTCTTCTAAGCATTAATACCTTCATTCAACAAATGTTTGCTTTTGCCATGACACAAAAGTCAAGATGTACCCGATAAACCAGAAAGAAGTTAGTGCACGTAGACTGGTGTTTTTAATACAGTCAGAACAGAGCAACCATCTGTAACTTGAACATTTTTGCTTATCAGCTTAAAAACAAAAATTTGTAACTAGGGCTCAAAAGAGGAATCTAAGCGCACAAACCACTCTCAACATAAAGTTATTATATATTAAATACTATTATTTCAATAATTTCCAAAAATTCTATAAACTTAATTGCATCTTAAAGCAACATAAACTGCTTAAAACTTACAAAACAATTTCTGAATCCCAGTCATAGTCAATAACTAGAAACCAGGTTTTCTTCAAGTCACAAGTTGTGGGTTAGGTAGAAAGAAGGTTCTTTCTATAAAAGTAGAAAGTTGTCATAGAGATACCTATATAAAGTTGTTATATAGATACCCATATAAAGAACCTTGAAAGGTTCATCCTCAGTTAAAAGGTAGACCAAGGGAAGAAAAAAAATATCCATTAACAGAGGGAACTTAAACACACACACACACACACACACACACACACACACACACACACACACACACACAAATCATAAAAGCCTTATCTGTCTTTTCTAGAATGCTGAGTAGAAAAAGTTTTCACTGTCAATCTTTAACAGGCCTACTCTCACAAGGATTTGGGAGTTTAATTTACATATCAGCATGGTCCAGAAAGCCCCATGCCAAGAGAGGAACATGAAGTGCTCTTAAGTTGGTAGCAACCTGAGACACCTGGCAAAAAGGAAACATAAATCCTATCTGGAGAAAGGTGCCCTCAAAACAGATTGACTAAGGAGTCCCACAGAAAAGGCCTGCCAACTTCAAAATTCAGAATTACAAAGCACATGAGTAAACAAACCACCTTAAAAGTCAGCAAACAACAGAGCAATCTGACACCCCCCTCCAAGAACTGCAGACAATGGGATAATTAAACATAGACTATAAAATAAATACCTTTACAATGTTTAAAACCCTTGGAGATAGAATTGGAAGCATAAGAGAGAAAAATGCTATAAAGACCAGCAGGTTTTAAAAACTGAGTTGGAAAAACTTCATGAATAGATTAAACAGCACACTAGACCCAGGTAGGAAGAGAATAAACTGGACTATAGATTTGAAAAAACTAGCCAGACTAGAGCTTAGAGAGACAAAGAAAAAGAATATGCAAAAGAGAGGCTAGGAGACAGAGTAAAGTTCAACATACCAGAGTTCCCAAAGAGGAAATAGATTGGGGAAGATGTCATATTCAAGGAGACCATGGCAAGAAACTTTCCAGAGTTGTCCAGAGACAGATTGCCTACAAATGACTGATAATTAGACCTGTAGCAGACATCAAGATAAAAATTTAAAAATAAGACAAATGTGAGAAGATAACTTTCAGCCTAGAGTTATATATCTAGCAAAACTATCTTTCAAGAGTAAAATAAAACATTGCCTCACTAAAGAATTTTATAAACTCACTAAAGGAAATTTCAAAGGATGAATTCCAGGAAGAAATTAAAACTGAAAGGAAGAGCTGAGATGAAAGAAAAAAGAATGAGTGAAGAAATTGGAATGAATACGTAAGAAAAAGAAATTAACACACACATAATTTATAAAACACTATATAAAAGAACAGCAATAACAAATGTAGGGGGTTAAAAACAAGGTGAGCTACAATCCTGGTCCTTAATGTCATATAAGATAGGAATGGAAAATAAGAGTGTTTTAAGATTCTTGTACTGTTCAGAAGAAGGGAAGAGATAGCTATTATTAACTTTAGACTTTAAGAATGGATGTTAACATTTAAGGGTATCTGATAAAAGATTATCCAGAATGTATTTTTTTAAAACTACTGAAATCAATAGTAAAAAGACAACCTAATTTCTCCTATTAGTAAAAGATCCAAACAGGCACTTTGCAAAACAATATCCAAATGACAAGTAAATACATGAACAGTGCCCAAAATCATTGGTCAGCAGGGAATTAAAATTTAAAACCACAATGAGATATCCTATAAACCCACTAGTATGGCTAAAATGAAAAAAAACAAACTGTTAATGCCAAGTATTGGCAAGGATTTGGAGCATCTGGAACTCTTAAACACTGATTCGATGTGTCAATTAGTACAAATACTTTGTAAAACCAGCATTATCTATAAAAGTTATAGACACATACTCTGTAATCCAGCCACTCCTCTCCCAGAAATACACCCAAAAATTGTGCATATATGAACACCTAAAACTATACACAAGAATGTTCATGGCAGATTTAATTTTAATAGCCCCAAACTGGAAACAATCCAGATACCCATCAGCAAAATGGATAAATTATTTTGTTCATAAAATGGAGTATGGTACACACAATAAAAAGGATGAACTATTGTTACATGCAACAATATGGATGAATCTCACAGAAAAAATGTTTGGCAAAAGAAGCCAGATACAAAAGAGTAGATAATAAATAATTCCATTTGTACACAATTTTGAAACAGGCAACACTACCTTACAGTATTATATGACAGGATTATGGCTAGCTTGTGGGAAAGGGGGAAATGCCTGAGAAGACACATCAAGGTGTTTCTGGTATTCTATCTCTTAATCTAGGTGGGATGTTTAACTACTCAGCATGGAGACATAATGGATTAAGAGATTCTCAGAATTTATTATACATCTCAAATTAGGATACTACATATTCTAATTCTCCACATCAACAATACAATGAATGGATTGAAACGTACAATGTAGCTTAAATCATCATAACGTTGAGTCACCCATGGCCAACAGCAATGTTAAAGATATTCCGTTGTTTGAATTCGACAGCTTTTCCCATCTTCAGATCTGGATACCATTTTTCAGTGATTAGAAACATTTTCAACAAATACATAAAACATTTAAATCTTAAATTAGGCCTCACTCATTAAAAAAAAATAGGACATTGTTCAAAACTAAATTATGTAAAATGAAAACGGAAGCCATCATGTAACCCACAGCAAATAATCAGGAATTATTTTTTCCCTTTATCACATTCTCTCTGCTGGGTTAAGATTCTGAAATTTCTGTTCAAAACAAATATATTTCAGTGTTACACAATCTTGCCCTGTCACAAGAGAATTTTCTGAATTCTCAGTGTAACAGAAACTTTACATTCATGTAAAGTACATGAACGTACTTTTGCCTAACATTGTTTTATGTCATAGTTCAAGAATCTGATAAGAATGTGATATGGGAACACATCTGCTAGTAGAGTGATACTTTCTGATATGGTATTGAAGAGCAAAGGCTGGGAGGAGGATTCCTAGAAAAAAAGATGTTTGGTCTCATTCACTAACTTACTAAAATTGGTTAACATTGTGAAAATTTTTGTGGGTACACTTCATGCTTTTTTTTTTTTTTAAGAGACAGGATGGTCTTGCTCTGTCGCCCAGACTAGAATGCAGTGGCCAATCATAGCTTACCATAACCTTGAATTCCTGGGTTCAAGAGATCCTCCTGCCTCAGCCTCCCAAGTAGCTGGGACTACAGGCACACACCACCACACGCAGCTAATTTTTTTATTCTTTTGTAGAGAGGAAGTCTTGCTATGTTGTCCAGACTAGTCTCAAACTCCTGGCCTCAAGTGATCCTCCCACAGTGCTGGGTTACAGGAGTGAGCCACCTCACCCAACCCATATTTTCAAATTATATAAAGACAGGTTTGTATTCTCAACAGTAAAAATCAGAGAGTCGTCAGCAGAACTGGGTTCACGCTCTAACTCAAAGGTCAGAGCTAGTTAGACTTTAGCTCTGATTCCAAATTATGGAACGACTTTGGCTAAGTTTTTCAGTCTTTCTAGAAGAGCCTCACTTTGCTCAACTGAAAATGAAAGGATTGGATTAGATATAGATAGTACAGCAACACAAGAGCAAATAGTTAATCCTTAATTAGCCAGTCCATTTGTTAAGATAGGTCTCTGTGCAAATGGACAATATTTGCCTTATTCCTCCACAAGCACCAAGATTTCATCTGTGTGTTTCAGCATTTATATGCACTGTAGGAAGAGTTTACCCTGTGTCAAGTACCTGTTTGCTTTACTCCTTACAAAAGTACTTCTTGAAGATGCTATCATTGTATGTTCCCAAAGGAAAGTTGACTCCAGTAAATCCTCTCTCACTTAGACTTCCAAGATCAAGTAGCAGGAAGGAAAACAAAACAAAAACCAAAAAACACCAAACCACACAATCCTTTTCTAGGCAGCACTACACCAATAAAAGTGAGCATTATTGAGTAAGGCAATCCCTAAGCCCCCATCCACTATGTAAACTGCCAAGAAGCCATCCACATTATCTGTGTCTACTTTGGCTGTAGTCTGTGGCTCCACCGGATGAGCCTCACCATCTGGAACACTGTGCCTTCATCCTTCTAAATCAAATAGCTCAGCTGGCTTACCTTTTTTCCCCTTTCCCCTATCATATAGTGGGACTTTGGGAGTTCCAGGCACTAAAATGAGAGAGACAACTGCGTTTTATCATAGCATAGAGCTCAGGCTCAATGAACATCAAATACAGCTGCAAGGATCTTTAAGGCCATCTATTCCAATTCTCTCTTTTCACTTGTGAGAATTCAGAGGCACCTAAGGTCACTAGCTAAGGGCACAGAGAATGTACAACTCCTGACTCGAGACTAGTACTCCTTCTACTTTAACAAAGTTGCCTCTCAGGAAAGAATGCTCATCTTGGAATCTGCCCTCCTATGGAACATGTTGTCATTCCTCTGTGTCATCAATGAAACATTCCACCTCAACTAAGATGAGATACTGAAAAATATTTCCAAGCTGTCTGTTCAAATGTCAAGAAATGAATTTGTGCTGATGTGAGCAATCTACTAGCATATCATTAGGCTTAAACAGACATCAAAGTATAAAATCCTAAGGAGGTAATTAAATATTGGTCCAGTGGTAACCAAAGATTTTTAGGGTGGTGAGATGAAAGAAATATCCTAAAGCTGTCCCTAAAGCTTTCAGAGAGAATAGTGGAATGGTTAGAATATGGCGCAAGCATTTGGTTCTTTATAATAGAATTAGCGTGGTTTGTAAAAGAAATAGGAGAAGTGCTCCAATTGTAGCACTAGGCTAAAATAACTAAGTGCTTTTGGGACCTTCTTCTAAAAATTTATTCAGAGAAGGTTTCTCCTTGGCATTCAGTTTGTGCAGCATGTATACCCCATATTTAATCCACTCTCTGCCTACAGCCTAATATTTAGCTATTGTTCACATTCTCATCTGGGCATATATCCAACCTCTTGCTCCATAAAACACTGGAATAAACCTTAATATATTAGAAAATTAGAAAAACTAAATGAACAGAAGGAAAGCAAATACATTTTCACACAAAGTACAGGATACAGCTGTGATCTGTCAAGCTTACAGGACTATCTCCTTAGCTAACAGCAAAGTTACAGGATAATCTTTTCAGCTGAACAGGAAGTAGCAAGCCAAAAACAAAACAAAACAAAAAAATCCATAAAAAGTTCCCAAACCAACTCTATTCCCCTTCATTTCACATTTCCAGCACACATTCACCCTTTGACCAAGTCTGTGTAATATACCTAATTCAAGTAGCTCTCATGAAGTGTCAACAAGTCTCTGGATGACAAGTACTTTGGGAGTCCATAAAATAACCTTTAATCAAATGTCCCCAAATAAAAAACCATGTGGGACTAATGTGTTGGTTACTCTCTTCTGAATAAACAGGTTGTAGCAAGAATGACAAAATCAGCTTTGGCCCTCAAGTAGTTCATACTTGTATGGATGATCTTTAGTGTCCCATTTCTAAAAGTCGTTTCCATGGTACTAAAATATAACTAAAACATAGAATTTCCCTTTTTTTCTTCTTTCATAGTACACTATGTGAGCTAACAGACAAGGTACCTAACCCAGGCACAAGGGAATATAAATAAAAAGGGAGCACTTCATAATGTAACTAATAAGATTTATAAGTGACTTATTATATAAAACTTATAAATTATAATTGAAAAGGATGAGAGTTAGTTAAGGAAAGCAGCAGCAAAGTATTCTAGGTGCTGGGAGAGATTTGGGGACTGATGATAACTTAACAATACGGCAGATCCTTCTTACACCTCAACTTTAAAATGGGTTTGTGATACTGAAAACAATCAGTTGGACAGATACTTAGATGCTGATTAGAGGTGCCCAGGTGCATCAAGTAGGGGATCATATTCCAAATGGTAGTTTTACACACATCAATGAGAGGCTCAAAACAGAGGAAATAGTGGTATGCTCAAATGAATGTGTTTAAAAAAGAGAGGAAGTGGTGAGCATTTTTTAACCAAGAAAACGTTATAGAATTACTTTCAAAATAACTCCCCTTTCAATGGCTTTTGGTTTCCCAGCTTATCTTCTAAATCAGAGGAGAGCACAGCAGTGTTTGCCACAGTTTCACAAAGTACTATCACCACGGGTATGATACACAAAAACAGAGCTAACTCTCAAACAGGAAGTCACCATCTTGTCAATTAGATGATACACATTAGAAATGAAAAGATCACCACTATGGAAAAAGCAAAGAAAGAACACATGGAATAGAAAGAAGGAACTCCTTCTGAGTTCTTGCCCTCTCCCACTGCAGGCTCCACAACTTATGAACAGCTGGGAAATTTCCTTTTCACGGGAAAAGGATGACTTCTTAGTTCACATTAAAGTGGAAATGACAAAAACTGACTGCATCAACATAGAAAAAAGGTGTTTCCTGAAGAAAGGAGAGAGAGCACTGCCTTTATTTGCCAAAAAAGAAAAAAAAAACACCAAAAAACAAAGGAAAAGCAAAATAATATGCATATAGCAAGCAAATATATATCTCTCTACATATTTTAAAGTAAAGGAGAAAATAATTAAATCAAAGAAATGTTTCAGGGTAGGTAGGAGTTAGCCTCAAGGGATAATTATTTTGTCCCACTGGGTTATCTCAAGTGCAAATATGCTTAAGGGGAATGATAACATATTTCCACTTTATATTCATGCAGGGATTTTTATGTATAATTTTTGAAAACAAATATCTAGCTTCAGCTTTTCTCCACAAACATAAAAATACATGTTTAGTTACTAACTTATCACTAGCTCTTATAGTTCAGATTATTTCAAAGAATTGGTGCTTGAATGGCTTACTCTTTCAACTATTCTGATTCTTAACAAGTATATCCCTTCATTCAACAAAAAGTATTCTGTGAATGCCTACTATGTGTCATTTTACGTGCTGCGGACAAAGTAGGCAACAAGATCCCTGCCTTCATGGAGCTTTGCCTAGTTATGTTTTACTGACCAGAGCAAAAAAGCATAATCACATGGGGAGCTATAAAAAAAAAATTACAATACCTGGACTGTACCCCATACCATTTAAATCAGAATCTTGGAGGTGAGGCCCAGATATCAGTCATTTTTGGCTCCCAGATGATTCCAAATAATATTTTAGTACCAGTAGAATTAGAGCATTAGCTCCCAACTTTAGGTCTTTAAAGGAATAGAGAATAAAAATAAGAATTCCTAGAAATAGATTCCCCTATATTCTCCCAATCCTACCAACCAAACGTAAGGTTCATTGAGGGCAACTTCTTAGTGGGAAGGTGAGATCTACTTGTTGTCCACAGCAGCACCTCCCCTGCACCTGCTACCTTAGTCAAAGTGTGATCCCTGCAGAGGGGGCTAGCAAGCTTGCCATTTCTCCCTCCTGCTTGGACATCTAGGGAACTCAAAGTGAGGAATATGTAGTCATCCTGGGATATGCTGGCACACATGAAACATACAGTGTTATTCTGTAACACAATAAATATAATGTAAGAATGTTTTTAAAATTCTGCTTAGTTTATTACTTTTTTTAGCCTTGAGATGAAGAAATCATACTGGTGTCCAAATTAGCAAGAAAGGGTTAGGTGCTATTATTCGAAATACACAATTAGGGAGGAAAAAAAGTCAAATAATCCCAAATCTAGATGTTTTGGTTCTGATGGAAAGAATACATCCTTAGGAAACGCCCTAATCCCAAGATGGGTATTATTAATAGTGCTGTGGGACTTAAAGGGGACTAAAGCCAAAAAATAAAGTCCTTTATAAAGCAAAATACAACGGCTGTCTGGAAAGTATCCAGCGATTATTAATACAACAAGAACGGTTTGCATGTCATATTACATGGCTGGATACTTTCCCCTCATCTAGTCCCTTTAAATTCCATATTTTCATTAAAAAATTTAAAAAGCAATTTAAATCAACTAGCAAAAGCAAAGTGGGAACAACTAATTTTCACTCATGAAAGGGCATTTTATGTATTTAAATATCTTGTTAAAACTAAAAAGTTGATTCATATAATTCTAAAGAGTTCACATTCTGGACCTGCACAGATCTTTCTAGAGAACATGCCTGATGATATCATAAAAGTTTCATCTACAAAGTGTGCCATTCCCTAGTTTACAAATTCCTATGTTCTTCCAGTTCACTATACCCAAAGCCTTCTCTGCTCATCAGATTTTATCACCAAGTCCTTCAAGCATGTCACTGATCCCTTCCTGGGTATATCTCTCTCAGATGAGTCACAAGTATTTCTCAATATTTATACCATGTGTTACAACATCCACTATACTCAGTTTTTAGTATGGTATGCATCCTTTTGAAGTTTTTGAAGTGAATATTTAAATGCTTAAGTATGTCCCATTAGTATGTCCCACTAGTAATAGTATAGGCCATGATTTAAAAACAACATAATGGAAAGGTAACATCATAAACAAACAGAAATCACAAAATCCACATTTCTGAGATGGTAGAGCCTTCATTATAATATATTGCTTGCTAATTGAATAATACTTTTAATGTTTTTTTAACATGTTTATATACACAATTCAACCTGTGTCACAAAGAATACCTTCTAAATTATCAAGACAATCTTTCTCTAATCTATGAATAAGTGACAAAAGTTCTTGTGGCCAAAATACCCCAAAAAGGAACAGAAAAACACTTCTTGGTCAGTAAAAATGCTTTCCTGCATCTTTTCAAAGGAAGGAGAATTGTCTAGGGCAACTATTATTGAAAATTCATGGCAACTATTTTTGGATAAGTAACAACAATGTAATGTATTCAATGCAGAGAAAAGTTAATTGTCACATATACCCAATGAGAAAATTGTGAAGCAGAGTTAAGAAGGGGTTGATATGGGAAAAATTGGGGGTATGAAGAAAGACTATCTGAGTATCACAGATTTCTTAAGAAATGCATTGAGTCACTACCTCCACCCCCACCTCTTATCAACAAAGGCACCAAAACATTTTACAACCAAAGGAACTCTTGAGGAAATCATTGGAAATAGTTAATAACCTAGTGTTTCCTTATACCACTGACCACAGGAATCCAAACAACTTTCTAATAAAGTCATGGGTCTGGAAAGAACCCAAAATAATCTAATTATAATCCCATCTTCCAGCTAGTATATAATCCCATATTCCTCCTTGTGGAGGCTGAATAAGACCAATCAAAAGGGGCATGGTGAGTGTACTTTTGAAGAAGGTGGAGTGCAAACTAACTTCAAGTTTTACTTGGGAGAGGTTGTAGGTAAGGATCTTGCAATTTAAATTTGTGTCAGTCGTTACAAATTTAATACTTTCAAGAATCTATTTAGTGTTGAATAGACAAAAAAGTCTGCTTTGTATATTTCGTATTTCCTTCTGTTAACTCTTGGTCAGAACAAATTAATACTCTAAACCACCAAATTAATTTTTCACTTTCTATTGTAAAAATCCATTTCTTCCCCAAGCATAAAGGTGTTCTCCTACTTCTAAAAATTATGTTTACTGCTGTGTGTAATGAGGGAAAAAAATCCTCACTTAGCTGAGCTGTCGTCTTCAAAACAGTTTTAATTCCTAATATAAAAGAAGACTAATTCTTTTAATCCTTGCTAGTTCTTACATGCATTTTCCTGCTTTTTATTAATGTCACTGTTCATGTCTAAAATTGATCATTAAAGGTATCAACTGATTAGAACGACACAGCATTTGATGTTGGAACAGAAAGTTTGCAAATGCAAAAATGGAAGTGAGTGACTCTCTGGTATGTATGCAATTTATTCAAGAAAGTAAAGATTATATACATTTGAGGGTCATCAGAACCTGTTGTGAATTATGTCAGTTTAAGGATTAAGGCTTCCCTTAAACCTTGGAGCTGAGGAAGGGTGGCAGTAATGCAGCTAGTCATCAGATTACATTGTGATGTGATTTTGGATTAATGCCTTTGTTGACTTATAAAAATCTGTTTGCAATTCAGCAGCCTTCAGGTCTAAGCTCATATATATGCTACCACAGGCATTATATTAGTCTGTTTAGCTAGGCCAAAAGATTTCATAGTGGTTAGCATGGATTTACAATAAATGTTCCATTTTACCATTACTGTCTTATTCCATTGAGAAAAATGGTATGACGAGCTTTTATGTCATCTAATAAAATATACTGTGCAAAGAAAGTTTAGATTAGAAAAAGGTTAAACAGCTGCTTCTATCTGCATAATGCCTTCCAGTTTACAATGTACTTTCACATTTATTATTTCATTTTATGCTCAAAACAACTTTTTAAAATTATAGTTCCATTACATAGACTAAGATCCATTTAGTGGCTTAGAGAAGTTAAGGAATTTACTCAAAGACAGAGTTAGTAAGTGGCCGAGTTAGGGCTAGAATCCAAGTCTCTTATGACTGCCTCTGTGTTACCAGATAGGTGAGCTGCCATTGCTTTGTTTTTAAATCCAGGCTTTTCTTAAACTTATAATAGGAAAAAAAAAATCAAGGAAAAAATGTTATTATTGCATAATAAATATTCATTAAAGACTTTGAAACTTAGATAATACCATCACTCAAATAACTTATACTGTGAAATTTAGCAACCCATATTTTTGATCAACTGCCAAATATGGAGCACTGTATTTAGTACTTAGCCCCAAATATGCATACTTTTAAGCAAAGTAATGTTCAAGAAGTAGCACAAGTAGTATTTCTGAAATTAAGGACAGTAGTGATAAGCAGATGAGTGGTTTATGCAAGGACATTGATTTACCACTATATTCTATGTTCGCACAATGCCATAATTCACAACACCTGGGCAAGAAATTCAACAGTTCAATCAAATATTGAGAATATACCTGCCTGGATTTTTATCATCATAGCTTATTTCAGTTTCTTGTCCTGGCATTTTTTTCAGCTTGACATCATATCAAGAAAGATTTCAGCAGCATTATAATATCTATAATATTACTGAACACTAACTAGATGCTAAACACATTACATGGATTTCATTTAAGAATGAGAAAACTGGCTTTCTCCCAAGGTCTTGCAGCTAGTTGAATGATAAAAGACTATGAATCTAGGGCCTCTAACTCTTAACCCAGTGCTCCCTTCCATTACACACAAATAATATTAGCATTATCTGATAGCGGTAAAATATTATGTGTCTAAGAGTTACAGCTCTTAATCTTTATACTACATTTGATTTCTGAAAACATATTATAAAAGTAATACACACTCATATTTATATATCATTCCTCCAAAGTAAATTTAATCACGGTTTGTCAGGTACTCTTTCACATATTTTCTCAGAATATATAAACAAACATTCTTATTCACATATTCTACAAAAACTATTATATATTCTATTCCACAGCTTAGTTTTCATAAATTAACAACACATAATGGTCAACTCAACATATCACAATGAAGAATAAAAGAAAAAAAAAAAAACAACACATAATGGGCATTTAATTCTAAGTCAGTATACACAGAATGATCTCATTCTTCAATGGTTGCAGTGCATGGTTATGCCACAGTTATCCCTCATTTCCAGGTTGATCTTTTTTAAATCATTACCAACTTTGGTATAATAACATCTTTGTACATAAAACTTTGTACATTTTTAGAAGTATAATAAAATATAAATTCCTAGAAATGGAACTGATGAGTCAAGGGGTAGATACATTTAACCTGATAAATATTGACAAATTGCTTCTATAAAACTTATTAACTAACATTCTTATCACCATGTATACATTAGAATTAAACCTTCATTTGAAATTTCTGTTCTAGGAATATTTCATTCACTCTGATTTTGCCTATTTTTTTTTTCTTTTTTTTTTTTGAGACAGAGTCTCGCTTTGTTGTCCAGGCTAGAGTGAGTGCCGTGGCGTCAGCCTAGCTCACAGCAACCTCAAACTCCTGGGCTCGAGTGATCCTTCTGCCTCAGCCTCCCGAGTAGCTGGGACTACAGGCATGCGCCACCATGCCCGGCTAATTTTTTTTATATATATATCAGTTGGCCAATTAATTTCTTTCTATTTATAGTAGAGACGGGGTCTCGCTCTTGCTCAGGCTGGTTTTGAACTCCTGACCTTGAGCAATCCGCCCGCCTCAGCCTTGATTTTGCCTATTGATGTGAAGAATAATCCTCAAGGAAAATGAATCAGTCATTCCATTATCTTCCCAAAGATTAGATTGTGATGGTCAGTAATGGTTCCAATTACTGAGTGTTTTTTAAAGTTTTTTTAAAAATCAAGTTAAAAAAATAAGTTAATAATTCAAGTATATCCTGTAACAGAAACCTTACTATGTGCACAGGAAACCAATATAGTCTTGGGTATTAAGAGCATATGCACTAGATTCTGATGAGTATTACTAGAAATGTAGACATAAAATTTAACTAGATATATAATAGTGACCTTTATAGAATCCAGATAGTTTCTAATAGTAACAACCAAAAAGATGATATAATGAGAAATGCTCATTGAAAAGTAAAAAGGTATTTCATATCCTATTATCACTTGCCACAAAAAAAAGAAATAGACACATTATACCCAAGTAGAAACTGGCATTATGTAAATTCATCTACTTAAAAGTGAATCCAAAACCATTCTTTTTATTATAATTTAGTTCAAAATGTGAAAATGCAGAAAGATCACTATGGTAAACTGTTGAGTTTATTTTTCCCCCTTCTGCTATGATCTTATGCTCTCAGCCATCTGGCTTGTATTTACTGTACTACTGGGAAGCTATATTTGCTAACAAAAGTAAAAGCTCTCTTTTTCCTATTGTGTTTGCACAGTTATTCCCATGTGCTGTTTTTCGTTTTCTAAACCAGGTACTTTGCCCACTTCAGAACAGATTCTTGAAGGCTTCATTATTATTTATCTTAACAGAACATGCTATCCTTCCTTACAACATGGCTGTTCCTGCATTCCAGCTGAACAATGACTTCTGGAAGCTCTAAGAGATTACCCCCACGCCTTTCCACTCCAACATCTCCAGCAACCCTATTTCTGAATGTACCTTAGTCCCTTTCATTTGAGTCAGTTACTTTCGTTGTTATCAAATATAATCAAACATAACCTTATTATCAAATATAACCTCTAAAATGGGTTTCAGGCTTAAAAAGAAAACTATTCATTTATTCATTTATTTATGGTTTTGATATAAGCTATTTGTTAAAGTAATCATGATATCTTCATGAACAGAAGGGGCCTGTACTTTAAGAAAGCTAATGTTTTACCCTAAATCTTTAGTAGCATAGACCATTAGGCTGAAACAGACATCTTATGAGCAGCAAATCTTTGCTGTTTTCCTCAAGAGGGCAGGGGTCCCTACTTCTTACTCATTTTCCAGGCAAATAGTATGAAAGATAACTTTAAAAAAGAACATCAATGATGTATTTAAAACTTTTTTTCCCAATTTACTTATAAAATAAGTGAAACCTGCACATAGTAAACAATTCAAAGGCACAAAAAAAAAAAAAACTGTGCAAAGGAGTCTACATAATGAAGTTAGTCTTCCTCCTACCCTTGAACCCTGTTCCAGAAGTAAAACTACTTTTGCCAATTTCTTGTGTTTCTTTCTACACACCTCTTTCCACCTGTTTTTACAAAAATTGTAGAGCACACACTTCTCTACACTTTGCTTTGTCCCACTTAATAATATACCTTTGAATACATTGTATCTTACTACTTAGAGAGCTACTACTACTCAATTTATTTTCAAATGGTTACACAGTATTTCACTGAATGGATATCTTACTATTAATATTACTATTTATTAATATATAATATATGATTATATAAATATAAATATTAATATTTATATATTTATATTTGTTAATAAATAGTAATATATTTCCTATAATAAGCATACAGATTTTCCCCTATATTTCATTATTATAATGCTGCTTTGTTTATGCTTCTTTGGACATACATGTATAAAGTGTGTTCTATGTTTAACCTTTTGAGGAAGCACCACACTGTTTTTCCACAGCAGCTGCACCATTTACATTCCCATCAGCAATTTCTAATTTCTCTACCAACACCTGTTATTTCCTATTTTTTGATAACAGCCATCTTAATGGATGTTAAGTGGTATCTCATTGTGGTTTCTATTTGCATTTCCCTAATGACTAGTGATGCTGAGCATATTTTAATGTATTCATTAGCCATTTGCATATCTTCTTTGGAGAAATGCCTATTTGAGTCCTTTACCCATTTTTAAACTGGGTTGTTTTTGTTGAGTTGTAAAAGTTCTTTATATATTCTGGATATCAATAACTTATCAGATATATCATTTGAAAATATTTTCTCCCATTCTGCAAATATTTCCCTTTCGATAGTGTCCTGTAATGCATAAAAGTTTTTAATTCTGATGAAATCCAATTTATCTATTTTTCCTTTTGCTGCCTGTCCTTTTGGTGTCATATCCAAGAAATCATCACCACATCTGATGTCACAAAGATTCTCCTGTTTTTCTAAGAGTCTTATAGTCTTAGCTCATTTAGGTCTTTGATCCATATTAAGTTAATGTTTACATAAATATATGGTATTAGGGTCCTGCTTCATTTTTTTGCATGAGGACATCCAGTTTTCCCAGAACTATTTGTTGAAAAAAGACTATCTTTTCTCCATCGAATGGTGTTGGCACCCTTGTCAAAAATCAATTGACTGTATATGTGAGTTAATTTCTGGGACAATATTAGTTTTGATACTGCCAAATTACCCTCCAAATAGGACGTACCAACTTATATTCCCATTGATAT